CGGGCGGCAGTGAGTCCTGAGTAGTGACTGCCAGGGGACGAGGATGCTGCCCCAAACACCAGGGTGGTGGGCCTTGCGGGGGTCCTCGTGAGGTCTCGGCAGGTCGGGCACTGGCCGACCTGGCTGCCAAGGCTCTCGGCGGCCAGCTGCAGGTGCACGGACCATGCCCCGCCTGCGTCGGGGTCACTCGGGCACCTGTGGGCAGGCCTCCTGGGCTTGGCGCCTCGGCACAGGCCGTCCACACCTGAGGCCTGGTGCTGGCTCACCTCCTGCTAAGGCGAGTGGACTGGGGCTGCCCCTTGCCCTGGTGTGCTGGGCTCTGCCCACAGTGAGCGGGGGGAGGAGCCAGCTGCTCCAGGACCTCTAAGCCCCTGTTCCTGAGGGCTGAGGAGCTGGCCTGAGCTGAGTGCAGGGACAGGCGGAAGAGGCCCCGGGGCTGTTCTTACTGGCTCTGCCTGCCCACCACGTGGCTGCCCTTGGCTGCCCGGAGTCCCATCCCGGAGCCTGTCCCCAGCAGCCGGGGGTCTGGCACTAGGCAGCGCAGTGCAAGGGTCACATCCGTGGCAGGGGTCAGTGAACGGTAGTGCCCTCGTGAGGGCAGCCGGGCAGCCTGTGTCTGCGCGCCGCAGGCCGTAAGGCTGGGGGAATGTGTTTGCGTGGTTAGAAAATGACTTGCCATTGGCTTTGCCATCCCTGCCGGCGTCACTCACTCTGGGTTCTTGGAGCTCTCGGAAGCCTGGCCCCAGGAAGGGGTGCTCCAGGTCAGGATGTCCCCAGGTCCTGACCAGCCCAGCAGGGCCAGCGTCTGTGGGTGTGAGGGCGACCAGCGCTGCCCTGTGTCTTCTGAACGGAGTTCACTGCAGGTGCAGGTTGAGGCTCGTGGCCGTTCCTGGCAGAACCGTGGGGGCTTGAGATCACCGCTGTTGGATTCTGGGAACTGTGTGGCCCCAGCCATCGTTAGGACCAAGCCCCTTGTCCCCATGTCCTTGGAGCCGGGCGTCCTTGTGTGCTCGCCAGGGGGCGTGGGAACCAAGGGGCCACATCCTCTGAAGCCTGGTCCTCGTGCCGCTCCGTGCGCTGGCTGCCGCATGGCCGCTGTCGGTGGCCGTTGTCTGAGTCCACAAGGGGCCCTGGCGCTAGATGGGCAGGAAACCCCTGGACACGGGGAGCCCCGGGGGAGCAGCGCTCGGACAGCCTCTGTGCTTGGGAGAGGTACTCCCCTGCGTGCCCAGGGCCGTGGCCAGGGCTGCCTGGGGCCTCTGGTGCCCACGAGGACTGGGAACGGTCGCTGTCGACCCCACCCCACGTGGACCAGAGCCACATCCGCCGGATCTGCAGTGCCCTCTCTCCCCCAGGCACGTTCTCGTCTCGTGTAAAATTTAGAAACAAAACAAAACGAGGCTGATGTGCAGCAGGTTACGTGTCCGCCTGCAGCCCCGGCACCCATGTGGGCTCCCATTCAGGACCCGGCTGCTCCTCCCCCCATCCACCTCCCAGCTGATGGCCTGGAAAGCCGTGGAGGGTGGCCCAAGTGCTTGGGCCCCTGCACCACGTGGGAGGCCCTGAAGAAGCTCGTGGCTCCTGGCTTCTTATCAGCCCAGTTCCGGCCGTTGTGGCCATCTGGGGAGTGAACCAGCAGGTGGAAGATCCATCTCTCTCCCTCCCTCCCTCCCTCCCTCCCTCCCTCCCTCTCTCCCTCTCTCCCTCCCTCCCTCCCTCCCTCCCTCTCTCCCTCTCTCCCTCTCTCCCTCTCTCCCTCTCTCCCTCTCTCTCTCCCCCCCCACCCTCTCCTGTATCTTTGCCTTTCAAATAAATAAATAAATAAATCTTAAAAAAAAAAAAAAGGAGACCTCCCAAGTTATTTAAACAAGACAGTTTTTTATTTGAAATTTGTTGGGGGGGGCTGGCATTGTGGCATAGCAAATATGCCCCAGCCTGTGACACTGGCGAGTGTCACTGTGACCGTGCGAGGGCTGGTTTGTATCGAGGCTGCTCTGCTTCCAGTCCAGCTCCGTGCTGATGGCCTGGGGAAGAGCTGCAGACGATGGTCCTAGCGTTTGGGCCCCTGCCACCCACGTGGGAGACCCGGAAGGAGCTCCTGGCCTAGCACTGGCCATTGTAGCGTCTGGGAGCGAGTCAGTGGATGGAGGAGCTTGCTCTCTGTCTCTCCTGGTAACTCTTTCAAAATAAGTCTTTAAAATAAGTAAATAAATAAATAAACTTTGGGGGAAGGCAGAGACAGGAAAATAGAAACAGAGGGAGACATTCCATCCACTGATGCCCACAACAGCTAGGCCAGGACGGAGGGAGACATTCCATCCACTGATGCCCACTACAGCTAGGCCAGGACGGGGAAGGGAGCTGGCGTGCGGCAGGGAGCCGAGTACTGGAGCCGTCGCAGCTGCTCCAGCAGGAGGCAGGGCGCGGGTGGAGTGCAGAACCGAACCAGGCACTGTGGGGGGGGTGCAGAACCGAACCAGGCACTGTGGGGGGGTGCAGAACCGAACCAGGCATCGTGGGGGGTGCAGAACCGAACCCAGGCACTGTGGGGGGTGCAGAACCGAACCAGGCATCGTGTATGGGGGGGTGCAGAACCGAACCAGGCATCGTGGGGGGTGCAGAACCGAACCCAGGCACTGTGGGGGGGTGCAGAACTGAACCAGGCATCGTGGGGGGGGGTGTAGAACTGAACCCAGGCACTGTGGGGGGGGTGCAGAACTGAACCAGGCATCGTGGGGGGGGTGCAGAACTGAACCAGGCATCGTGGGGGGGGTGCAGAACTGAACCAGGCATCGTGGGGGGGGTGCAGAACTGAACCAGGCATCGTGTATAGGGGGTGCAGAACTGACCCAGGCATCGTGTATAGGGGGTGCAGAACTGAACCAGGCATCGTGTATAGGGGGTGCAGAACTGACCCAGGCATCGTGTATAGGGGGTGCAGAACTGAACCAGGCATCGTGGAGGGGGGGGTGCAAAACTGAACCAGGCATCGTGGGGGGTGCAGAATTGAACCAGGCATCGTGTATGGGGGGGTGCAGAACTGAACCAGGCATCGTGGGGGGGGTGCAGAACCAAATGCAGGCACTGGGGGGGGGGTGCAGAACTGAACCAGGCATCATGTATGGGGGGGTGCAGAACCGAACCCAGGCATCGTGGAGGGTGCAGAATTGAACCAGGCATCGTGTATGGGGGGGTGCAGAACCAAATGCAGGCACTGTGGGGGGTGCAGAACTGAACCCAGGCGTCGGGGTGTGTGTGGCAGAACCGAACCCAGGCATTGTGGCGGGAGGGAGACAGGGTCCCCAGAGGTGGCTTAGCTGCTACCAAAACGTCCACCCCCCTCCTAATTTTTTAAAAAATATTTATTTCATTATTTTCATCTGCTGGAAGGCAGAGCGGCAGAGACCCCCTGTCCTGTGGTGGCAGGGCCCAGGCACTGAGCCGCCAGCTGCTGCTTCCCAGGACGCCAGCACCCGACCTCACGCTCCGAAGTGGGTGCGGCTGAACCGTAACTCTGTGCCGAACGCACCCCCATCTTTAAGACCCCAAAGGCACCAAGAAGTGGCACCTGAGGTGGCTGAGCCCTGGGGACTTGTGGGTTTGGACTGAGTGGTGGGTTTGTGAGCAGACCCCGGGCCCTGTCAGCCAGCTTGGTAACACAGCGGCCGGTTCAGGGCCTGCTGCCCGGAGAGCCGCCTGCCCCGAGTGCTTCTGACAGGGTTTGCTATGGGGAACCGGGTGATGGGGGCAACCTTGGCCACAGCTGACCTCACGTCATCCACCTCGAATATCAGACCCGGCTTGTCTCGTGCCTTTGTCTGCGCCTCAGCCCAGACCAGTAGGAAGGTTCCAGAATCATGCCTGGGGAGGGGGCCGGTCCTGGGTTCCTAGGAGCAGCCCTAGCAGGCTTTTTCACCCCTTCACCCCACCAGGATGGGTGCAGCCGGCTGTCGGCGGTGCTGGCTTGCCCCTCGGGGCCTTGCGGGAGACGGGACGCCGTCAGAGCCCGCAGGGGTGGCACAGGCTCTGCAGCCCTCGTGGCTCGGCGCTTCTCCCTGTTAACAAATGCCCTCACATCTCATCCCTGCCCGCCCCGCCTGCCGGGGCCCATGGGGTTGTGTGCGGGAACCTCGGGGGGGCTGTGCCCACTCTGGCCCCTGTGTGCCGGTCCCGCCCTGGCTCCCGATGCCTCTCCCCAGATTCAGGCCCCTGCGCCCGCCCCCAGGAGGACACGGTGGACAGGCCAGGCCCCCGGCCGCCCTGCGGGGCTCCCCGAGCCCAGCCAGGCCCAGCCGCGCTGACACTCCGCCCCCCGCCAAGTCTGACGTTTCTGGGAGGCCGCGGCATCTGTGGCTTCCTCGGTGAGCGCCGGGTGCACTTTCAGGCCTCCTCAGACAGGAAGCCCCACCCTGGCCGCGCTCACCTGGGCGGGGCCTGCGCGCAGCGCTGTTGGGAGCGCTGTCCTTGGCCGGTCTGCCGGGGCTGCCCTCGAGGCCTTGGGCAGGGGCTGTGCACAAGGACTCTGGCCAGGGCGTCCCTGCCCCGACCCGGGGCCTTGGGGAGACGGGCTTCCTGCCGTTCCCTGCTCCCGGGAAGAGCCCTGGGCAGGCAGGACCAGCATGGCTCTCACTCCTAGGGGAGCCCAGGGCCTCGGTGGAGCTCGTCCACATCGCTCCAGAGCTGGACCCTCGGCTCCTGCTGGCTCTTGGGAGCCCCAGTCCTCAGCCTGGCTGCAGGGAGGGGCCACTTCCTGCCAGGGCCCCGCTTGAGAGCAACCCTGGCTCTAGGAAGGTGGTGTAGACACACAGGGACAGAGCCTGCTGCAGCTGTGGGGGGAGGTCACCCTGACCGCCTCACGCCGGCACGAAGCCTGGCTCTGGCCCTGAGCAGTGGGCTCCGTCTCATCTCACCGCTGGGTGCGCGGTGCCGTCCGGTCCTCCTCCAGGCAGCTTGCTCACCTGGGCCCCGGGCACCAACAGCGTCTTCTGTGTCCGTCACAGGTCTCCGAGCCTCCGGCCTCCGTAAGACCCAAAACAGACGACTCCTCTTCCCAGTCCCCTGCGTCTTCCGAGAAGGACAAGCCGTCCAGCTGGCTGCGGGCCCTGCCCAGCTCTTCCAGCAAGGTGCCGTGCGGGCTGTGGGAGCCCGGGGTTGGGTCCCAGGCCTCTGGGTTTGGTGGCAGCCACTGTGGCCATCTGGGGAGTGAGCCAGCAGATGGAAGACCTCTTTGTGTGCAGGCCCCCGGGGAGGGCCACTGGGCGGTTCTGGGAGTGGGCCCTGCCACTGGCTGCTGTGCCCGGCCTAGCCTCCAGGACACGGGGCAGCCTGTCCTTGCCCAGCGGCTCACACAGGCCACTCCTGTCCCACAGAGCCTCAGCTGTGTCCACCCTCGCCAGCGCCTCTCCGCGTTCCGACCCTGGTCCCCTGCGGTTTCAACTGAGAAAGAGCTGTCCCCGCACCTCCCAGCCCTGATCCGAGACAGGTGAGTGCCTGGGCCTGCGGCCTCTCGCCCAGCTGCCACACAGCGCCGGTTCATTTCCAGAGCCGTGTGGTCCTTGGGGGCCCCAGGGTGTGGCCTCCTGGTCCTCGAGGTCAGTCCCTGTTCCAGGCTTCCTGGACCCCCTGCCTGGCCACACAGACCTCCTCTCTGTGGCCTTCCGAGGGGTGTGTCCTGTGACCGTGGTGCCAGCGCGGGTGGGCTCAGGGCGGGTAGACAGCCACGGTCAGCTCACGCACACCCCCGCAGCTTCTACTCCTACAAGAGCTTCGAGACGGCCGTGGCCCCCAACGTGGCCCTCGCACCACCGCCCCAGAAGGTCGTGAGCAGCACACCATGTGCCACCGTCGTGTCCCGGGTGCCGGAGCCTCTCCCCACGTGTGTCCAGCCACGGAAGCGGAAGCTGGCAGGGGACACCCCCGGAGCCCCAGAGATGCCGGCGCCCGGCGCCGCCCCGGAGGAGGACAAGGACTCGGAGGCCGAGGTGGAGGTGGAGAGCAGAGAGGAATGTAAGTGTGAGGGGGCTTCCCGCCCGCGGGCCGGGCCGGGCGGTGCGGCGGGGCCTCCATGGGCGCCCGCTGACTGCTCCGTCTCTCCTCAGTCACCTCCTCCCCGTCCTTTGCCTCGTCCAGCTCCGCCAAGGACCTGAGCTCCCCGGGCGTGCGTGCCCCGCCCCCGGCCGCCCCAGACGCTGCGGCCCACGCCGACGCCCCGAGCGGGCTGGAGGCGGAGCTGGAGCACTTGCGGCAGGCCCTGGAGGGCGGCCTGGACACCAAGGAAGCCAAAGAGAAGTTCCTGCACGAGGTGGTCAAGATGCGGGTGAAGCAGGAGGAGAAGCTGAGCGCAGCCCTGCAGGCCCGGCGCAGCCTGCACCAGGTGAGGGCCCAGGCCCGCCCCTTCCTGGCCACCCCTGCACCTTCCTGGCCACCCCCTGCACCGGGTGAGGGCCCAGGCCCGCCCCTTCCTGGCCACCCCTGCAGCGGGTGAGCACCCAGGCCCGCCCCTTCCTGGCCACCCCTGCAGCGGGTGAGGGCCCAGGCCCGCCCCTTCCTGGCCACCCCTGCACCAGGTGAGCGTCCAGACCCGCCCCTTCCTGGCCACCCCCTGCACCGTGGCTTCTGAGAGGCCCGCCCAGTGGCCCCACTTGCTGGGCCGGCGTGCACCATGGCAGAGTGTGTACAGTAGGTGTGTGTACACCCTGCGCACACACACACCTACACGCGTGCACCCGCCGCCTCTCCCAGGGCCCCGCATGTCGTCTTCAGAGCCGGGGAGGCGGAGGCCCTGGCCTTGCTCGTTCTGGCCGCTCCCGAAGCTGCGTCTGGCAGCCCCCCCCCCACGCCTCGGTAGGGACGGGGGCTCCCCGGCTGGGTCTGTGGCCGCCCAGCTTGGGGGAGCAGCAGCCAGAGGCCCCGCTGCGGCAGACATGGGACCCACGCAGGCCGCGTGGGGGGCTGGTGGCCGTCCGATCGGGACGGGGAGGGCGGCTGAGGGAGTGGCCCCGCTGCGTGGTCACGGCCGGGCGGGGGAGGGGCTGAGGGAGTGGCCCCGCTGCGTGGTCACGGCCCGGGCGGGGGAGGGGCTGAGGGAGTGGCCCCGCTGCGTGGTCACGGCCGGGCGGGGGAGGGGCTGAGGGAGTGGCCCCGCTGCGTGGTCACGGCCGGGCGGGGGAGGGGCTGAGGGAGTGGCCCCGCTGCGTGGTCACGGGCCGGGTCTGCCCAGGAGCTGGAGTTCCTGCGCGTGGCCAAGAAGGAGAAGCTGCGGGAGGCCACGGAGGCCAAGCGCAGCCTGCGCAAGGAGATCGAGCGCCTGCGGGCGGAGAACGAGAGGAAGATGAAGGAGGCCAACGAGTCGCGGCTGCGCCTCAAGCGGGAGCTGGAGCAGGCGCGCCAGGCGCGGGTGTGCGACCAGGGCTGCGAGGCCGGCCGCCTGCGCGCCAAGTACTCGGCCCAGGTAGGCGACGGCCTGGCCGCCCCGCCCCGCCCCCTGCCCCGCCCCGCCCCGCCCCGCCCCGCCCCGGAGCCGTGTGCGGGCCGGCGCGGCTGACGGCGCTGTGCCTTCCAGATCGAGGACCTGCAGGTGAAGCTGCAGCACGCCGAGGCCGACCGGGAGCAGCTGCGGGCCGACCTGCTGCGGGAGCGCGAGGCGCGGGAGCACCTGGAGAAGGTGGTGCGGGGCCTGCAGGAGCAGCTGTGGCCGCAGCCCGAGCGCCCGGGCGGGGAGGGCACCGGCGAGCTGCAGCCCTGACCCCCAGCGGCGGGGCGCCCACCACGTCTTACTGTGCCTACTCCCGAGTGTCGCAGCCGCACTTGGCGTCCACGCGGGATTTACTGCCCAGGCCGGGGCGAGCCGGGGCGCGCGCACGCCGGCGGCCCGGGGCTGGCCCTCTGCTTGCTGGAACCGGCTAACATTTACACTTTTGTTATAAGCTATTTAAACCAATAAGGAGACTCGATGTTCAGAAAATCAACCTTTTTTAATGACTGCTTTTCAAAGCCCCAGCACGTGCCGCCGCCGCCGGGGAAGCCATCGCCGCTCATCTGTGCCCGCGGCCGCCGCGGCCTCGGAGGTTTCTTCAGTCTATTTTTTCAGCGACCGGGACCCGCGTCTCCCTGCCGCCCCCGGCAAGGGCAGGGGGAGAGCCGCGTGCGAGATGAGCCCACCCTGCCCGCCTTACCGCTGCCCGCCGCCGCCAGGAAGGGCAGAGCCACGCAGGGGCCGCCCGCCGCCCCGGCCGTCCTCGGCTCCCCAGGTGCTGGCCTGCGTGGGCCCGAGGCGTGGCCGGGCGCCCCCTGCCCCCGCTTCCTTGATTTGGGGACTGAGGCTGCAGCGTCAGAACAAAACACAGCATTACCCCCCCCCCCCCGCCCCATCCTCGTCGGAACCAGACACGGCATTACCCCCCCCATCCTCGTCGGAACCAGACACGGCATTACCCCCCCCCATCCTCGTCGGAACCAGACACGGCATTACCCCCCCACCCCGTCCTCGTCGGAACCAGACATGGCATTACCCCCCCCCCCCCGTCCTCGTCGGAACCAGACACGGCGTTACCCCCCCGCCCCGTCCTCGTCGGAACCAGACACGGCATTACCCCCCCCCCCCCGCCCCGTCCTCGTCGGAACCAGACACGGCGTTACCCGCGCCCCCGCCGGTGTGCGCCCGAGCGCCCGGCAGCTCCGCCCGCCGCCGCGTCGTCCCGGCCGTGCGCGAGGTTTCTCCGGTCCTGGAGCAGTGCCAGCCCTAAGCGCTCCCGTGCTCGGAACCCCTCTGGTGCTTGGTTGAACAAGGGAATCACAAGAAAACGAAAATGCAAAACTGAACTCCGGGGCCGCCCTGTGCCTTCCAGCGTCCTGCGCGGCGAGTCCTGACCGCGTCGCCCCGCGCGCCCCCGTCTCCGTGGCGATGGGAGCTGCCACGCAGATGAGTTAGCGCGTTGATTCCAGGTAGTGTCGTTGCTCTCGACTGTTTATGCAAATCGTAGACGGTTTCCTACGCCCAGGCTTGAAAAGTGGTTTCCCAGGAGACGAGCGGCCCGCCCCGCGGCCTCGGTATTTATTGAGTGCGGAAGATCGCGCGGGAATTCTTTGCTCGAATCCGAATCCGTTACAGCGCCGGCGGCGCCGCAGCAGAGACCAGGACGGCCGGCCCCCCGGCGGCGGAGTCTGCAGGGTCGGCCCTCGGTTTACCGCGGGGGCGCGGCCGCCGCCGCCCCCTCAAGTGCAATGCAAAATGGACATGGTGTATACGCAGCGTCTGTGTGGACGTTGTCCTTGGCTTCTGTCGTCCGTTCGCAGTCCCGGGGTCTGTAGGCACGGGACGCCCCTGCCGTAGGTCGCTCCACCACGGGCAGTAGCGCCGGCTCCGCCTTGTTCGCCAGAGTTGTGCTTTTCCGTCATTTCTTCAAGGGAAACTTAGTGGTTTAGTTGGAGCAAAGCTTTAATGTGTCGGCTTCCGCGTGGCTTCCGTGTCGCCAGGCCCGCCCGGGGCCGCCCGTGTCTTCTGTCGGGCGCCCCTTGGGGCCACGGGCCGGGCCGGCTGCCTCCCCAGCGTCGGGTGGCGCCTCTGCCCCCAGGGCCCTCGCCTCCCGCCCCTCCCTGCGGGGGGCGCCCGCGGGAGCCGGGGTGGGCTCCCTTCACCAGCAGCTCGCACTCGGGGCCCTGGCCTGGGCGGGGCGCCCGTCCTCCGGCCGCTCCAGCGCAGGGCCCGCGCCTGGCCCGCGGCCGGCCCAGCTGCGAGGACAGGCTGTTGACTCCCGTCCGTAAAACCCGTCATCCAGACAGCGCGTGTTCACTTTAATCCTCATGGTTTCTCTCGCGAGGAGGTTTTTAACGAAGGGAAAACCAACAGCAATAACCTTGATTCTCGAGCAGCTACCCCGGCGGCGCGGCCCGCAGCGCCGGCGGCCGCAGCCCTGTACAGACCCGCTCGGCGCCCTGTATCATACGTGTACATGGTGGTCCCTTCTCACCTGGTAATCGTCTGTTTTCTGGGTTGTTTTTAACAAGAAAAACGCTCACGTGCGGGGTCGGAGCCCCGCCCCGCCCGCCCCGCCCCGCCCGCGGGCTGTTTCTGTTCTTGCTTTAAGTCAGGAGTCACAAATGACATTTTTTTTCAATTAAGGAAAAAAAAAAAAAAAAGAACCCCCGGACCCTCGTAGCCACCTGCCCCCGCACCGCCCCGGACCTCTGCTGCTGCTAATGACAATACGACGCTTACTCTGCTACTCGAAGACTATTTTTATGTCATTAATGTATGCTTTCTTGTTTATAAATGCCTGATTTAAACAGAACCTGCCGGGCCTGTGTGTGTCCCTGGGGCCCCGGGCAGGGGGCGAGGACGGGGCCGCACCCCAGGCCTGCGGGGTCAGCTGGAGCTGGGAGGAGGCCTCCACGGGCACCACGGCTCCGAGAGCCACCCTCAGTCACGTCGGCACGTTGGAGGGTGGACCCCAGCGTGCCGCCCTGGCTGCCTGCCGAGGGTCCCAGGGGCCTGGCCACCGCCTCCCAGAGACTCCTCGGGCCGCCCGTGTCTGTCCCCCTTTCCCAGTGTGGCCGCCCGTGTCTGTCTCCCCCTTCCCCAGCGTGGCTGCTGCCTCGGTTTCTCCTCCTCACCCTCTGGAAGACCCTTAAACCCGGGGCCCCAGTGCCTTCCGCGCAGGGGGCCTGCCTTGTCCCCTCAGGGCCCCCAGCTGACCCCTGCAGCCCCGGGACAGAGGTTGGGGATGGTGGGACTCGGCGCAGCTGCGGGTGTGGGCTGAAGGGAGGGGCAGGCCGGGCAGGAGACCCTGCATGTGGGTATCACACACCCACGACCTGCCCGAGTCGGCGGCTGGTGCCGGCCACGCCGGGAGGGGCGGGCGGCGTTTCGACCTCGGCCCGGTGCAGCAGTGGCTCCGAAGAGCTGGTGGCCGTCAGCATGGCCGGGCCCTCTGCCGAGGTCCCGGGGTGCCCGCCTGCCCCTGGGGGCTCTGGGCCCAGCTGTCCGAGCCTCCTGGGCTTCACTTTGGGCTACGCTAAAGGGGGCGGCTGCCCTGGCCCTGGGCTGGTGGGCCAGGAGTCTACACCCCACCCCTCCCAGAGCTCTCCCTGAGGGGGGCAGGGCAGGAGAAGCCCCTTCTCGGGAGACAGCAGAAGTCACCTCGGCCCCTGCTCGGGGTTCCCGGGGCTGGGACTTGCCCTGCACGGCCCAAGGCTGAGCCGAGGCCGCCCTCTGCCAGGGCAGGCCCCCGTCTTCCTGCCTATTTCCAGAGTACCAAGACCCGGCAGCACCCAGCGGTCAAGGTGTCTCCTGGGCCCTGCTCACTCCTCTGGGTCTTGGCCGTGCCCATCTGGCCCCAGCCCCCCCCCCCCGAAGGTCAGCCCTCAACTAGGGAGGCGGGTCCAGGCACCCTCAGGGCAAGTGGGAGCTACAGCTGGTCTACCCCACTCTTACCCCTGCCCCAGGCTGGGCCCAGCTGTGCCCAGCAGCCCCCATCCCTGGGCCACTGCTGCTGCCTGGGGAGGGGGCTCCAGGCCGCATGCCCCCTCCTAGCCCAGGCCTGGCCACTCCTACCCTGAGACTGCTCCCACTGCCCCAGAGCCTGCTCCGGGCGGGCCTGAGTTAGGGGTCCCTCCACAGGTCGAGCTGGGCCTAGGACCCCAGACTCACCTGCAAGGAGGTGGCGACCCCCGAGGGACGTCCCCACAGAACTGCCCACCTGCTGCCTGCCCAGCCCCGCCCCAGGCAGCCCTGCAGAGGGGCTGGGTACAGAACATTGGGGAACTGGATGCCCGCCCGCCCCTGCCACCCTGTGGCTGTGTGACGCACAAGGCCATCTGTGCCCAGGCCCGTGCCAGGTGGGTGGGAGCCCCGGCGGCTGCGGCACCCAGCCCTGGAGCAGGTGGCCCCGCCGCGGGTGGGGACAGGCAGGGAGAGCCGGCCAGCCTGGCGAGTCGCCCCAGCGTCCCGTGTAGGGCCAGGTGTCTGGCCGGGCTGGGGCCGAGCCTGGCAGCCCTCACGGGCGGGAAGCTGGGCCCGGGCTGCAGCCCACGTCACTCCTGCGGCAGGAGGGCCTTGTTCCGGAAGCCCACGGGGACGAGGCGCCGCGGGGAGCCAGGAGGCTCCTGGACCAGGGCTGCCCCAGGGCCACTTCTGGGTGGGATGAAATACCCAGTCCTGCCTGGGGAGGGGGACAGGTGCCAACCCAGTCCCCAGACGCAGGGCTGCGGGAGGTCGGCGGCCTGGGCAAGGCCCTGGTCAGCTCTGGCCCTGCTCGCCATGACCCCAGAGGGGCCCAGGAATGCCGGGGCTGGGGGGTGGGCACCCAGGCCTGGCACCTCTTGGAAGGCAGGTTTCTGCTGGCCTCGAGGCCCAGCATGTGGTAGGCACATGTGTGTAGGTGCACGTGTGTGTGGAGAGCACAGCAGTCCTGAGCCACGGGTCAGAGCTGTCCACCGGGCTGTGCTGACCCCTGGGCCAGGAAGGGCACGGAGCCCGGCAGCCTTGCCAGCCACGCCCTGGCCCCGGGACACCCTGCTGGGGGGGCGTGCCCTGGGCCCCTGGGGCTGCGGAGGTGCTGCGGGGGTGGGTGTCTGGTCGCCCAGGGGCCCAGCCCGCCCTGCCCAGCCCTTGACCTGAGGAACGTGCTGGCCCACACCCCGACTTCCTCTTTCTAAGGAAACCGGCCGAGAAGGCCCTGGGGGCTGGTGGAGGAGCAGCCTGGCTGGGCCTGGGGGCTGCAGCCGGGAGGGCGGGCTCAGGCCTGCACCTTCCCCACGCCCCCTCCCCGTGGGTGCTCCCCCCACGGTGGTGCTGGAGGCTGCGCCACGGGGCTCCCGTACCCCAGGGCTGCGCCGTCACCACGCGCCTGTGCCAGCAGCCCGAGCTCTGACGCACAGGGTGCTGCCCCCACCCTGCAGTTGGCCGTGGGAGCCCCGGGCCTGCCCAGCTCCGGGAACAGAGCTCCCCTGCCCGCACCCCTGCCGGCTGGGCTGGGCGGGGCAGAGACCCCCCCCAACACCAGGCTGCTTCCCCACACCCCTGCCCCTCCTCCCGGCCTTTCGCAGGGATTCTGGGCCTGCGGCCGCCTGCGTGGCCTCCCCGACCCTGTCCTGACGGCTGCTGGCCAGGTCCCCCGCTGCGGACGCCGCCCTGTCCACACCAAAAAAGTCCCGGGGACGCCGCGGGGCGGGCGGCAGGGGCGGGGCAGAGCGCCCGAGAGCGCCCCCGGCCAGGCGGCCCCGCTTCCTAACTGGAGGCGTGGGGAGGGGGCCCGGGGCCCGGCCAGGCGGTCCCGCTTCCTAACTGGAGGCGTGGGGAGGGGGCCCGGGGCCCGGCCAGGCGGTCCCGCTTCCTAACTGGAGGCGTGGGGAGGGGGCCCGGGGCCCGGCCAGGCGGTCCCGCTTCCTAACTGGAGGCGTGGGGAGGGGGCCCGGGGCCCGGCCAGGCGGCCCCGCTTCCTAACTGGAGGCGTGGGGAGGGGGCCCGGCCCCGCCCCCGCCCCCGCCTCAGTTTCCGATTCCGCCTGAGTTTCACTTCCCTTCCCCCCGCCCGACTTCTGGGCCGCGAGGGGCGGGGCGGGGCGGGTCCCGACGGGGCTGGGGGCGCGAGGACCCTGCCGGGGTCCGGGGAGCGTGTGCCAGAGGGTGGGGGCGCCGCGGAGGAGGAAACGGGGGGGCTGCGAGCCGCAGGCGCGCCCCTGGGGGTCGGCCCCCCGCGCGGCGCTGACGTGTCGGCCGCGCGCGCCGGGCCTGGGGGTTCGGCGCGACCCTCGGCGGCCAAGGCGGGAACTGCAGCTCGGGCGCAGCCTTGTAGGAGGGGTGGGGGTCCGCGCGCCCGAGAAGGCCCCGCCCCGGCTGGGGAAGGGGCGACGTGCCTCCCCGGGCGCGGGCGCGGAGCCACCGGCCCCCACCCAGGAAGGCCCCGCCTCGTTCCCGGCGCCCGCGCCGCCGCCGGCTTCCCTGTGCCAGGCCGCACCCCCCGCCCCTGCCCGCGGCCCCTCCCCGGGGTGCTCTCCCAGGTCCCACCAGGGCCCCGGGCTCCGGCGGGTGCTCTGGGGGGCTGCGGCCTGCCGTTCTGTGGGCGGCCCCGTGAGCATCTGTTGGGAGACGCCCGTGGAAGGGCCGGCGCCCGGCTGCTGAGGTCCGTGGGCCCCGGGCTGGGCCTGTGTGGCCGGGTCCTGAGACCGTGCTGCCCGGGCCTGGCCGCCCTCTGGGCGTCCCCCTCCCCTCCACTGGCACTGAGCAGGCCTCCTGACCCTGCCTGGCTGCGTGGGGGCCTGGGGGTCTCCCCACCCCGTGCCCCAGGCTGCCCAGGAAGGCGCCACGCACAGTGGGCCGCCGGGTGGCCGTCGAGTCCCCATTCCTCTGTCCTGGCTGTCAGGGACGGGGCGGTGGGGGGCCCAAGAGGAGGGGACAGTGACTCCGAGCAGCTCTGTCCGCCTGCTCCCCGGAGACCCCGGCCCCTGTCAGGAGGGACCTGGGCAGGGACAGCTGTGGTGGGCGAGGCCCCACCGCCTGACACCCACGGGCCCCTCCCCGGCTGCACGGAGCCCCTGCCTGGCCCCACGGCCCGAAGGGGACAGGGTCGAGGGCCTGGGGACCACCCCCAGGGCTGAGAGTGCCCGGCGGGAAGGGCCTGGTGACACAGGAAGTGCTCTGGGGGCTGGGCACCGGAGCCCTCCAGGAAGCCCTGCCCGGGAGGGGCCCAGCTCTGCACAGCTGGCTTGGCTGCCCGCCTGGCACGGAGGCCAGGCAGCCTGCCCAAGGCTTCGGGGTGCCCTGGGTGACTGGCCCTGCCAGCCCGAGGTGGAGCGGCCACCTGTGCCCTGCGGGGCCCCGTGGAGGGCGGCCTGGACCCGTCCTTTGCTGACCCTCGGTGCACCTCTGGGTGGTCTAGAGGGGCTCCCCTGCCCTGGGCTGGGGGCCGGGCGCCTCCCTGCCTCCGTCTCTGGCACGCAGCCCCAGGGGGGCGTGTATTCAGGGCGCCGTCACAGCTCAGTCGACACTCTGAAGCCGTCGGGGCCGTGGGGGCAGGGTGGAGGCAGCCGGGCCCCCCAGGCGCCTCCAGGGGAGGTTCTCCGGCCTCCTCTACTGACAGGTCTGGCCAGCCCGCCCCGGGCAGCTGTGGCCTGGAGGACAGGGACTTAGTGCTCCAGCCCCGGCCTGGCCCACGGGCTCCTCCCTCCCTGCGGGGCTGCAGGCCAGAGGCAGGTGCAGCCTCACCCCTGCACACGGCCAGGCTGCTCTGTTGGACACCGCTGTGGGGCCCGTGCGGGCAGAGACGGGAGGGAGTGACCGCCCCAGGGGGGTATGCAGCCCTCGAGGCCGGCCAGGACCTGGGGTGGCAGTGGGGCCACCTTGGCAGGGCGTGGGGCAGTGGCCGCGTCCATACCGCTCAACCCTCAGGGGCCCTGTGCCCCTGGGATTGCAATGCTGGGCAGGCAGCGCCCGCCCTCACCCAGGAGCCAGCACTGTGGGGCACACGACGGAGCCGGGGCTGGGTCCCCTGGCCGCCCACCGTGCCCCACCCGTGCCCCACCCCAGCTCTGGTCTGGGGGATGGAGGTGGGCGGACTCCGGAGGGACCACCGCCGGGCTGGGGTCTCATCCTCCCCCGCCGCCTTAGAAGGGGCCGTTCTGCGGAGAGGTGGGCAGACAGGCGCCGGCCCTGAGCTGGGCCTCACAGGGCGCAGCGTGGCCTCCCTGGGGAAGCCGGCCCCCGTGGGCTGGCTGGACGCTCCCCGTTGGCCTTTCTCCCGACCTCTCCCGCTAGCCAAGTGTCTCTGGCCCTGACTTGTTCTGACCTTGCTTTTTTGGGGAGCGCTCAGGTTTCTCCTGTATTTAGAGTGGGGGGCACAGGGTGGCTGGCGGCCTCGCTCCGTGACCTGTCCTGGCAGGGGTCAGGGGTGGGGTGCACAGGGGCAGGCCCCGCACCTGCGGCGGGTCACAGGGGCTGGAGAGCGGAGGCCCCGCCTGGCTCCCGGCAGGGGTGACGGCGCTGCTTCCTGCCCAGGGTTTGTGACTTCAGGGCCATGGAGGCCGACAGGGAATCAAACACCCAGAGGACGCCCGGCGCCGCAGCCCACGCTTCCCTGGCGTCTGCCGTCCAGACCGAAAGGGCGCCTTTGCCTTCCCGCACGCACATGGCTTCAACCTGGAGTGGGTGCGGCCCCCAGGCGCTGGAGCCCAGGGGTGGTGCACGGCGGTTCAGGGCCCAGCCCCACCGCTGTCCGCCCGGCTTTCCTGGGCAGGGCCAGAGGCCCGCACCAGAGCTGCAGCCGGGCCCTGGGCTGGTCCTGGGCTCCGGACTCCCAGGCAGCAGGGGCACTGGCCTCAGACTGGCAGCCGCCAGGGAGAAGGCTCGGCTGGCACCAAGGCAGAGGTCTCTCTGTAGCCGGGTGGGCCTTGCCATGCTGGGACTCCCCCGGGGACGGGGAGCTCACCACCATGCAATGGCCAGGCTCCGCCCCACAAAGCCCCCACCGTGCCTCCCCCTCCCCGCCCTGTGCCCACCCCCTGGTTCCTGACCACCCGGGCCTTGCAGGCACTGGGGAGTGGGTGGTGGGTCGTCACCCCCACGTGCCTGCCCGTGAGCACGCCCTCCGCCCTCCGTCCTGTGTGTGAACACTCAGGGCTGGACGCTGACCTGCAGGTCATGAGGTGGCCGGGCAGGGGCAGCAGAGACTGAGGCCCGGCCGCAGACTGAGGAGGGGCAGTGCTGTCCAGGAGCCACAAGAGGGCGCCCTCGGCAAGGGGCAGGTCGCACCACAGGGCCGCAGTGCCCGACACTGGGGGCGGGGGACTCAGGACAGCCACCCTGCCCACCTGTAGGGAAGCCCCGTGGCGCGCAGCAGTATGGCCCTTGAGGGCGGGGTGACCACCGCTGGGGACACAGGGCATCCGCTTGGCTCAGACCTGCCGGGGGGCTGGGCTGGGCTCGGGCTGCCCCGCCCTCTACTTCCTTTCCCTGTGAAGGAGGAAGTGAGTGGCCGGCTGGGAAAGCGGTGTCCAGGTGCAACGCGACCAGGGCTGCCGACGTGCCGGGGCCATGGCCAGGCCGAGGGACGGGGGTGGGGACACTGGCACCAGGGGGCGGAGCCTCTGGGCGGCAGGGACCACGCGTGGCTGCTCAGAGGCAGCCTGGAGACCCCTGGACCCCCCCTTGCTGGGACGGGGTCGGCCACAGACACAAACCGTGGGGCTCAGGGCCTCTGCCCACTGCCGGTCTGGTGCAGGACGCTGTGCCAGCCTGGGAGGGGCCGGGGGGCCGACGTCCACCACGTGCCCCTCCTAGGCCAGTGCTGGCAACCCAGCCCTGCCCGCGCCCCATGCATGTGCAGGTGGGGTGCTGAGAGCCATGACCGTGACCACACTGTTTTATTGAGCCGGCCCTGGGGTCCTCCTGCCCCCCGCTGCTCCTCCCCCTGGAGGTACGGACGGCCTCCTCCGTGGCTGGCGGCTCTGCGTGCGCCGTGGGCGCCTCCGGCGTGGGCTCCGGGGCCTCTTCAGGGCGGAGCCCCCTTCCCCACCACCTGCAGGTGCTTGAAGGCGGTGGGCAGCATGCGGCCCAGGAACGGGGGGGTGGTCCGGTCGTGGACCATGATCACGTACTCCCCTGCAAGGGAGGCCGTGGCCTGAGCTCAGCCCTGGCTCCTGGCCCCTGCACCCGCAGGGACCCCCGCCCTTGGCACTGCGGCCCCAGGACCAGGCTGAGCCCTCAGGGACCCCCGCCCCCGGGAAGGCAAAGGGGGAGAGGGGTTCTGGGCCGATCTGGGTTTCGAGAGCCCTGGTCCGCTGGGCCCCCGGGGCCGTGGGGCCACGTGGCGGGGAGCAGGGCTTCTCTGGGACAGAAGCCGGCCACTTCCTCTCCAGTGTTCTAGAAGGGCCCGGCCACGGGGCTGAGTTCCCTCCCCAGCCTGCGGGCCATCTGCAGAGCCTCAGAGTTGGAGAAACCAGAAAGAGGCAAATAAGGAATAACAGAAAGTGCGGTTGCCATGGGAACCGCGCCCGCCCTCCCCCGAGCCGCCGGGGCTGGCACCAGAGCGTGGAAAAAGCTCCCGGGGAATGCGGCCGCCGAGTGGGGGCAGGAGCCGGCCTCACCGCGGGCCCGAGCGCATTCCAGAGCCCCGCGCCTGCTGCGCATTCCTGGGCCCTGGGCGGGGGCGGGGGCCGGCGAGGGGCGGCGGGCTGCAGCCTGGTGGGCCGGCCGAGAAGCCTGCATGGCAACGCCGGTGTTTCTAGGTGTTCCCCACAACACTCGGCCGCGCCGCGGCGGCCAAGGACTCCTGGCCGCGGAGCCGGCATGAGCTCAGCGGGCAGCGGCCTGATCTGACCCCGCGCGGGAGGCCTGGCCGTGACGGTCATGGGCTCCAGCCTGGGCCTGGTGTCCCCTGAGCCAGCTCCCCTCCGGAGCCCTGGCCGTGCACCCAGGACCCTCCGACGGGGGTTCTGAAGGGGTGAGGGCGGGAGCGCTGTGGCGCCAGCCTCTTGGCCGGGCGGTGGACGCACTGAGGGCTGCCGTGGGGACAGCTGGGGACGCTGCCCAGGGCGCTGGTCCCACCCCTGGTAAACAAGGACCTGGCTGCCTGCGGCTGCCCTGCAGGGACTGGGGCCCAGGTCACGGGGGGGGGGGGGGGGCGTGGCCCGTGGGCCACAGGGGCTCAAGGGGAGACCCGGCGAGCAGAGGCTGGGCCTTGCGGCCTGCTGGCCTCCCACCAGGAGCCCAAGACGCAGAGGGACACAGGCGCCCCTGCTCTCCCGAGGGACCCGGCTCTGTCCAGCTGGGCAGTGCTCCTGTGCTCACTGACACTAGGGGGTCCCGGGACCCTCCAGCACGGAGGGTGGTCCCTCGGCCTCGGCTCCCGTGGGGTCCAGGGCTGGAGGCCGCTCCGGGGGAGGCCCATGGCCCACAGGTCGCCCCCAAGGCTTTCCCAGCCCTCGCCTCGGCTCCCGTGTCCCTGCAGGCCTGTAGGGTCAGGTGGGCACTGTGGGGGCCTGAGACTTGAGCGCCCCCAGACCGGCGGGGACCTTCGACCGATCAGCTCCTGGACGGTGAGGAGCCCCACCCCCGGCCGCCCCCCCCGCCCCGCCCGGTTCCCTCCTGTGCCTGTGTCCTAACCCCTCCCACCCATGGGGCCTTGGGGGGCACCGTCCCACCAGGACCAGCAGCCGCCGGGCAGCCCAGGGCTGGCGCCCGCCTGTGCAGCACTCCAAGCCTACCTGGGTACGCCTGTGCCGGCAGCGCCGCGGTGGCCGTCCCGTCGGGCCTGTGAGGAGAGGAGCAGGCCCCTGGGTATTCTGCCCACCCCCCCCCCCGGCAAACCACACCCCAACAAGCATCAGCAGAGTCCGCGGGGCCCCGGCCGGGGGCACAGGCGTGGCCGGGCCCCTCACGGGGGCAGCGTGTTCACAGCCCTGTGGCCGCCCCGGGAGCGTCCACGCGGCCTGAGCCGGCTCTGGGACGCCGAGCACAGCGCGCACCTCTGGGTCCCCAGACACAGGCGCGGCTCTCGGGGCCACAAGGCCGGTGGCCGCTGCAGGTGACACGGTCGGGCTCAGAGGGGCGACCCCGACGTGCCCCCCGCAGGGACCGAGGCTGTGCCACCTGGGTGACGGTGGGAGGGGTCGGAGCCCCGGGCCTCCGTGTCGGCGGGGGCTGCTGGCTGTGGTTGGGCCGGGCCAGGGCTACCCAGACGGACTGGGGGGCACCTCGAGAGCAAAGCCGTCCCCAGGGCCAGCCACTTCCTGTCCCTGGTGGCCAGGGTGGCCGGCAGTGGACTTGGGCAGGGGGCAGAGAGCCGGAAGCAAACTTAAAGCCCCAAATCCTTCACCTTCAGTGGGGAGAACTGGGGGAGTCCGGGCAGGTTCGGAAGCACCGAGAACAGCTGGAGTCAGCCGGGCCGGCAGCTGGAGCGGGGCCTCAGGCGGGGTCCGTTACTCCAGCGTGGGGCGGGGACCCCCTTTGCAGCCCACCGGCGGCCCGCAGGCCCCCCACCCTCTGGGGGGCCTCTCCTGCCTCCAGAGCTGCCTGCCCAGCGCCCGCTGGCCTGGGCTCTGCGGACCTCGGGGGCTCGGGCTCCCTGACCTCGCACCGACGGCCAGGGCCCCGGGCCCGTCTCCTCCCGCTTCTGCCTGGCAGACTGCCGGGGGCTGGGGCTGCCCAGAGGACGCCCAGGACACGGGACCTGGGCACGAGTCCTCTGACGCGGGCTTGGGAGGGGGGACCGGGCAGAGGCTGCTGTGGCCCCCATGGCACCCACAAACCTGTCCTCCTGGGGCCAGAGTGTGGAGCCCACGGGAAGCCCCAGAGTCGGGCCTCTGGGGCGTCCTGGGAACACCCAGGGGACATCCCGCCGCTGCTCGGAGGAGCTTGGGGGGCTGCCCAGGAGGCCCGGGGCGGGGCAGGAGCCCCTCCCCTGTAGTCTGGATGGGGGAGGGGCTGGCCCCCAGCGGGCTACTGGAGGCCTCCTGGCCGCGGCAGAGGGGCTGGCGTGCGGGCCAGCTGCTGCAGGCCACGGAGTGGGGGCCCCGTGGCGAGCTGGACGGCTCCCTGCCTGGAGGGGGTTCCGCCTCTACAGACCCCCGGGGAGCTCAGCGTGGCCCGTGGTCAACGAGGAGCCCGGCCCTCAGGTGCCCAGGTGACTGCCAGAAGGGTCGCTGTCCCTGCCCCTGGTGGGCCTCGAAGTCCTTCCCTGCCCAGGGGGCCTTGGGCCAAACCCCTTGCTTGGACACTGTGGGCTTGGTGGCCTGGGGACCACAGATTAGACCGGAGCCTGGTGGCGCTGGCCATGTGGGGCCCTGGGTGCCAGGCTTGGGGTGGGGGTGGCCAGGCTGGAGGCTTTGTCTGGGAAGCAGGCGCACGGCCCCCTCCTCACACCTGGCTGTGCCCCGACCCGGGCGGCTGGGCCTCCAGAGGGGCTGTCCCACGTGAGCGGCCCCCAGGACCAACAGGGCCTTGGGAGCTGCGAGCCCACAGCCAGCAAGACACAGGCCGGGAAGACACTGCCTGGGGGTGCCGGTTCCCAGGAAGCTGGCCAGCCCCCAGGGACGATGGACGGGAGCCTGACCTAAAGGCCCCAAACAGAGCAGCCAGCACCCCAGGAGCGGGGGCGGCAGGGGCCGCGGGCCCTGAGCCAGGACGCACGGCCTCTCCCCCCACTGCAGGCAGGCCCCGAGCCCCGCCCCAGGGGTACCCGGAGGCTGGGCAGTCACTGGGGCCCCTCCCAGGGAGTCCCCCGAGCTCGCGCAGGGCCTTGGGCAGCTGCCACGGGGCGGGGGGGTGTGACCACTTATAAGGCAGCAGGAAGTGGAGGCCTGACAAGCTCGGGTCTGGGGGAGAGGCCCAGGACCACCCCGGGGCCCGGTCCCTGGCCAGGCCAGCCCTCCTGAGCCCTGTGCTGGACGCTGCTCACGCGGGCCACGAAGGGTTAAGGCCGCTGTGGGTCATTAGGGGTCATTATCCCCGGCCCAGCTCCACCCTTGTGAGTTTCCAAAGACGTCAGGGCCACCCGTGCCACCCCCAGAATCCCCACTCCCAGGAGCTCCCGCAGGGGCTCAGGCGGCCCTGGACCCCACGGCCAGGACCCTCATGTCCTCCAGAGCCTGGACGAGGGCTCCGCCCCGTGCCCCCCCACCCTGCTGTGGCAGGGCGCAGGACTGGAGGCCTCCCGGGCAGAGGCGTCAGTGCCCGGCAGGGCCCAGACAGGACGGCTCTGAGTGCCGGAACCAGAGGGCTGTGCAGGTGATCTGGTGGGGAGACCAGAGGGGAGACGTGCCATCTTTCCACGACCCCTTTCAGACCCCTCTGGGCCTGGGCGCTGGGGGCCGTGGCCAGCCGGGTGTGGCCGGCACTGGTCCTGCCCCCTGCTCAGGCATGCGGGGCCCTGATGTCCCCTGGGAGGACTTCCAGGTCCCTGGTGGCCCGGCTGAACTGGCGGCCGAGTGCCAACTATCCACGTGAAGAACGCATCGACTCCATCCGGCCGCGTCTGGGGCGGGCAGGGTCCTGTGCCTGGAGCCCGCGCTGCACGCACGTCCTGGGCTGGGAGAGGCGCGGCCACGGCCCGCATTGCCCGGGGGCCCACAGGCGCCGCGCCCCTGGGAGACCCGGCAGAGCGGGGGGCCGCTGTGGGAACGTCCGGTCCTGGGGAAGCAGACCCGGGCAGGGGTCCTCGCGTGCGGCGCTGGGGGACGGGGTCACAGGGCGTGGGGGGCCCCATCATGAGGCAGCTGGACGTGTGACCCCTGAGGGCCGGCGGGGGCGGGGTCTCCCAGCTCTGGTGCCGGCGTGGGCGGGGTCTCCCAGCTCTGGTGCCGGCGTGGGCGGGGTCTCCCAGCTCTGGTGCCGGCGTGGGCGGGGTCTCCCAGCTCTGGTGCCGGCGTGGGCGGGGTCTCCCAGCTCTGGTGCCGGCGGGGGCGGGGTCTCCCAGCTCTGGTGCCGGCGGGGGCGGGGTCTCCCAGCTCTGGTGCCGGCGGGGGCGGGGTCTCCCAGCTCTGGTGCCGGCGGGGGCGGGGTCTCCCAGCTCTGGTGCCGGCGGGGGCGGGGTCTCCCAGCTCTGGTGCCGGCGGGGGCGGGGTCTCCCAGCTCTGGTGCCGGCGGGGGCGGGGTCTCCCAGCTCTGGTGCCGGCGTGGGCGGGGTCTCCCAGCTCTGGTGCCGGCGGGGGCGGGGTCTCCCAGCTCTGGTGCCGGTGGGGGCGGGGTCTCCCAGCTCTGGTGCCGGCGGGGGCGGGGTCTCCCAGCTCTGGTGCTGGGGACGGAGCCCCAGCCCCTGCCCCTGCAGTCGCTAGGCCCCCACCAGCTGCAGCCCCCGCCCCCGCTTCCTCCACCCCGACTGGGGGGCCAGGCCAGGTGGGCCTCCCAGGGTGCCGGGGCGCCGGCCCCTGAGCCCCTGCCCTGGCTGACACAGGCAGTGCGTCCCATGCACTTGTCCAGGGACACACAGGGTTTCTCATGGGAGCTGGGGGCGGGGCCACAGGGGGGTGGGCCACAGCCAGGGGTGGGGTTGTATCTGGGGCGGAGCTACAGACAGGGGAGGGGCTATGGCCAGGGGTGGGACTGTATCTGGGGCGGAGCTACAGACAGGGGAGGGGCTATGGCCAGGGGTGGGGTTGTATCCACAGCCCTCATTCCTTCATGGAGCCCCTCACCCCTCCTAGGGTGCCCCTCACCCCCTCACAGAGCTCCTCACCCCCCATGGAACCCCTCACCCCCTACAGAGACTCTCACCCGCCCCACAGAGCCCTCGCCCCCTCACAGAGCCCCTCACCCCCTCACGGAGCCCCTTACCCCCTACGGAGCCCCTCACCCCCCTAGGGTGCCCCTCACCCCCTAGGGTGCCCCTCACCCCCTATGGAGCCCCTCACCCCCTAGGGTGCCCCTCACCCCCCCTAGGGTGCCCCTCACCCCCTACGGAGCCCCTCCGCCCCCTCATGGAGCCCCTCACCCCCATGGAGCCCCTCCGCCCCTCCTAGGGTGCCCCTCACCCCCTAGGGAGCCCCTCACCCCCCCTACGGAGCCCCTCTGCCCCCATGGAGCCCCTCACCCCCCATAGGGTGCCCCTCACCCCCATGGAGCCCCTCACCCCCTAGGGAGCCCCTCACCCCCCATGGAGCCCCTCACCCCCCATGGAGCCCCTTACCCCCCATGGAGCCCCTCACCCCCCATAGGGTGCCCCTCACCCCCATGGAGCCCCTCACCCTCCATAGGGTGCCCCTCACCCCCCATGGAGCCCCTCACCCCCCATGGAGCCCCTTACCCCCTACGGAGCCCCTCACCCCCCATGGAGCCCCTCACCCCCCCTAGGGTGCCCCTCACCCCATGGAGCCCCTCACCCCCCATGGAGCCCCTCACCCCCATGGAGCCCCTCACCCCCTAGGGTGCCCCTCACCCCCCCTAGGGTGCCCCTCACCCCCTAGGGTGCCCCTCACCCCCATGGAGCCCCTCACCCCCCATGGAGCCCCTCACCCCCTAAGGTGCCCCTCACCCCCTACAGAGCCCCTCCGCCCCTCCGGCCTCCTCGGCTCCCCGGTCACAGGAGCCAGAGCCGGTGCTGGCCACCGTGGCAGAGCCTGGGCAGACCCCGCGCCTGCGGCACTGCGGGCCTGGGGGAGACGGAAGCAGGGGTGGCCCGAGCGTGGCAGTGGCGCGAGCGGCAGAGGCGCCGCGGGCACAGCAGCCCGGAGGCGGGGCCGGCCTCTCCTACCTGCGGCCGCCTGGCGTCTCCTCCGCGGCGGGCGCCGCCCTCCCGGGGCTCAGGCCTGCCTTCTAGAAGGGGAGGGTGGCGCGGCTGAGTGCTGGGCGGCAGCGGGCCGGCGCCCCCCGCGTGCCCCCGCCCCGCCCGGGCGCCCGCTGACCTCGCGGTGGCTCTCCAGGAAGAGGAAGGGGCGGTACCCGGGCGGCGGCGGGCCCAGGAGCAGGTCAGGGAACTCGGCGCGGCCACGGTGCACGCGCTGCTCGGGGCGGCCGGCGGCCCCTCCGTGGGCTGTGGAGACAGGACCGTAGGGGAGGCCGGGGGCCGAGCGTCCCGTGGCCGTTCTGCCGGGCACTGAGGCCACGTGGGCTCACTGGGCACCGCTCACACACCTGCCACAGCCACCTCCAGATGCTGGTGAGACTGTGGCCGGGCCAACGATGCACACTGTCCTGGAAGCAGTGTAGACAGGGCAGTGTAGACAGGGCAGTGTGGACAGAGCAGTGTAGACAGGGCAGTGTAGACAGTGTAGACAGGGCAGTGTGGACGGAGCAGTGTAGACAGGGCAGTGTAGACAGTGTAGACAGTGTAGACAGGGCAGTGTAGACAGTGTAGACAGGGCAGTGTGGACGGAGCAGTGTAGACAGGGCAGGCACTGTGGTGACGTCTAGACCACAGCCCCTTCTGGCTCTCTGCCTTTCTGCTCCAGGGTCCCCGGTGTTGGGGCTGGGACAGGTGTGTCCCTGGAGCTCCGCCCACCCAAGGTGGAGTGGGCGGTGGCCTGGGGGGCAGCACCACCCTCCTGCCTCCTTCACACGGGGAGTCTTTGCGGGTTGGGTGCTTCCTGAAGCCCCCACGTGCACATCAGAGCCCACTTGCTAAGGGGCTGGGTGAGGGGTCCCCCGGGCCCCCCGGGGCAGTGACACCCCCTGAAGACAGCGGAGACAGCCCGAGGCCGCAAGCCCTGTGCCGTCTGCCCGAGCGAGGGTCCCAGGCAGGGCCCCTGCGGGGGTCTCCCAGGGGCAGGGAGGGCCCGGTGGCCAGCGGCACTCCCGTCCCTCCTCAGAGCCCAGCCTTGGCAGGGCAGCGGCCTGGGAGCTCCGGCTCCAGGCCGTGATGTGTCTCCGGGGCGTCTTAACCCGTCCTCACGCGCGCGGTAAAGCCGCGGGAGCAAGGACGCCCTCGCCGCGTGGGCAGTGACCGGGAGCCGCGCTGCTGACGGCGGAGCTTCTGTCCGTAACCGCCCGCGCGTCCCACCGGGCTGGGCGGGGCCTGCACGGCGGCAAGGTGACCGCCTGGGAGTGGGCTCCAGGCTCCGGCGGACACCATGCCCAGGGCGGCAGGCCCTGCCCTCTGAGCCCCTTCCCCTGCCACCCCGCAGGCTGCCGGGAACCAGGGCTCACCCAGGGTGAGCAGGGCCACCTGCTGACCCTCTCCCCGGGCAGCCGATGGGCGGGAAGAGGGCATGGGCCCCAGGAGCCCCCGATCTCCGCAGTGGGGGAGCTGCTGGCCGTGCAGACGGGACTTCCCTGTGGTCCAAGGCTCTTTTTGTCTCAAGTCAGAGGAACCCAGCAAGAAACGGCTTCAGCCGAAAGGGGGCGGGGGCCAGGGAGGGTGGGGGCGGGGGCCAGGGAGGGCAGGGGTGGGGGCGGGGGAAGGGGCCAGGGAGGGCAGGGGCTGGGCCAGGGGAGGGCAGGGGTAGGGGCAGGGGCAGGGGCCAGGGAGGGCAGGGGCTGGGCCAGGGGAGGGCAGGGGTAGGGGCAGGGGTGGGGGCAGGGGAGGGTGGGGGCGGGGGCCAGGGAGGGCAGGTGTGGGGGCGGGGGAAGGGGCCAGGGAGGGCAGGGCAGGGGAGGACAGGGTGGGGGCGGGGGCAGGGGCCAGGGAGGGCAGGGGCTGGGCCAGGGGAGGGCAGGGGGGGGGGCAGGGGCAGGGGCCAGGGAGGGCAGGGGCTGGGCCAGGGGAGGGCAGGGGTAGGGGCAGGGGTGGGGGCAGGGGAGGGCAGGGGTGGGGCAGGGGAGGGCAGGGGTGGGGCCAGGGGCTGGGGCCACCTGGACTGAGGCCGAGGTTTGCTCAGCGCGCGAGTTCTCCACACCCAGACCACAGACTGACCGCCCAGGGCTCCCACGCCAGCCAGCCCACCTGCTGGTCTCCTATCTCAGACGTGAGCCCAAGTCGGCAGCGTCCATGCCCAGGCCTGCCCAGTGCTCTCCGCCTGACGCTGGCACTGCCCTTACTGGACGTGATGTGTGGGCCCCTGGCCCTCTGCCTGCCTCCGCAGGGCAGCCAGGCCCCGCTTGCTGTCGGTGCCGCGGGTCACGTGGAGAAACGTCCAGCCCGGCCCCCCTCCGTGGGCGCGCCGCCCGCCGGCCCCTCCCCAGCTGCCGCTGTGGCCCGGCTCCTGGGGCCAGCACCCAGCAGCTTCTACACAGGCCCAGGCTGCTGTCCCCGCCACCCCCGTGTAGACCTGGGGCAGAGCACCTGTGAGGTGGGGTCCGGCCAGGAAGTGTCCAGAAAGCTGACCGAGCTTGGCCCTCCCGCGCGCGGGGCACTGGGGCCTCAGGGAAGGCGTGGCCAGAGAGGGGCCCAGCCCGTGTCAGCCGTAGCCTTGCAGGACCACCCCGGCCGGGAGCCACATCGGGCTCAGTGCACGGCTCCCCGTGAAGACCCGTGAAGACCCGGGTCCCCAAGGCATGGCCTGTGCCCTGCACCCCAACACCAGGGTCCTGCTTGGTCTGCTCAGCGTCCCAGGTCCCGGATGTGGCCTGGCCACTTCCCGGCGACGTAACCCCACTCGGCTTCCTGCAGACACGGGCCTTGGAGTGTCCCCTGCACCCCAAACCCTGGGTCCGCTCCTCTACCCGGCTACTCCATCCCCCTCCCCGCCACAGGAGCCCCTCCAGGGGTCCCTCTTGAATCCCCCTGCGGGCTGCTCCAGGGCCGCCGTCTGGGGCCCTGGGTGCCACCATTTGCAGCTGGGACGAGCTGTGCCAGCCCCTGGCCTCGCCCTGCCGTCTCTTGGACCCTCCCTGCCTGCTCGGGGCGTCCAGCGGCTTCTGCCTGTGTCCTGAGCACAAGTGGGCGCCTACAACCTCCAGCCGGGCCTGGGCGGTGGCTGGACCCCTGCGGAGCCGCGGCCCACTGCTGGGGTCTCCCCTCCCTGCCCACCCGTCCCAGCGCCAGGCAGGCCCCGTCCTGTCACCGAGGACTCCCTGGGGCACCTGTGCGTCCTGCTGGCCCCCTTCCTGGGACACTGCCCTCCCTGTCCACCAGCTGTGCACCTGCTGCCGTCAGGGTGGCTGCAAGGAAGGGGCTAAGGGCTGAGGTCAGAGCCACGGAGACAGTGGGGAGAGAGGGGCCTCCACACCCTGGGTCCACTCCCTGGACGGCTAGGGAGCTGGGGCAGAGGCCCCACGGTCGCAGATGACCGCCTCCCTGGGTCAGCGACTCCCTGCCTGGGGGCTCCAGGGTCACAGACGGTCCTCTAACTCTGGGCTCCACAGGTCCCCAGGGACACCCCGGAGCCGTGGGCACCGCCGTCCCCTGCTGGGAGGGGCTCCGTTGGCCGCCGGGGGCCACTGCGGCCACGCTGGGTGCATGTCCAGCGTGGGCCACCTCCCCAGCCAGGCCGACCGGGCAGCAGGGCTCGGGGGCCTGAGACATGGCTCCCTCCCTCTTGGGGGGGGTGGTTTCCCACTTCAGCACCCGCGGCCCGGGGGAGGGGCTGGGCTGTGCCCGCTCCGAGTGGAAGACGGCCGTTAATTACCATTTTACAGCGACTCAATTAGGCTCCCTATTGACCTGTGTAGGGCACGGAGACAGCAGGCAGGGACGCAGGCGGGACGCAGGGACCTCGTGGGGGCGGGGACACGGTCAGGAGGCGCGGGCACCAGGCAGAGTCAAAATCGCTGTCTCCTTCCAGTGAACTCCAAACGGCCGAGCGTTATTGGCCCTCGGGGGGCTGTGTGCCCGTTTGGAGGTGACCAGACACAGTGCATTAGTCTTTAAGAGTGGACTGCGTGGCCACGCCGCCGGGGCGGGGCGCAGGCATCACGGTGACCCAGGGCCGTGCAGGGCCAGGCGGGCGTCCCCAGGCCTCGGGGCCCCCGGGCAGCTGGGCCGCCCCTCCTGGGGGCGCTGTCCCCCGCAGCCATGCCCCGCCCAGGTCTCCAGGTGTGGCCCCCGGGCATGGAAGCCCCCGCAGAGCCAGGTCCTGCTCTCCCTGTGGGTTCCGCCCATTCTGTCACCCGGGGACACCGCTCCAGTGGGCGCCCTGCTGCTCTGAGGACGCGGCCTGCGCCCCCGGGGTGGACGTGCAGGACGGGCTTCTCGCCGAGGGGGCTGGCGGGGCTGGGCCTGTGTGCGCCACAGCCTCCTCGCCGCCCCCACCCCACGGCCCGCGCCAGGCTGGCTGTGCTCAGCCCTAAGGGCCGGCCCCCGCAGCAGAAGTTCACCGTGTGCGCAACACGGCGCCTCTCCCGGCACCCGCACCCTGCGCGCCGGGCCCAGGCCGGGTTTGCTTTTGTCCGGAGGTGGTCACTTCCAGAGTGACCGCACAGCCGGTGGGCAGCGAGGTGCCCGAGCCTGCTCTGTCCCCTGCGCCAGGCTCCCGGGGTCATGGTGGCTCAGGGACCCCAGGCAGACACGGTCCGTGGCCACGACTGCGACCCACCTGTGGAGGAGCCGGGGCCAGTGAGGGCAGGGCCCGGCACTGGCCCAGCCCCAGGCCACGCCTTCCCTAGCTGCAGGGAGACCCCACTCCTGTCCTCAGGCCCCACCCCCAGGCGGGGCTGACCCGCAGGTCTGCTTCTGCCCCTCCCCACCGCCAGCCCACCCGCTTGGCCCAGCTCTGCACCTGCCCGCGGCCCGACCCCAGGGGCTCCCTGCGGTCCCCTCAGTGCCTGGAGGCCGCTCTGCTGGACGGCAGCCCAGGGTCCCGGCAGCCGCCTCCTGCCTGCTCCGAGCTCTCTCCTCCCCAAGCGCCGTCTGGGTCACAAGGCCCACAGCTGGGCCCGACAGCCCTGAGCCCTGCTCACTGAGCCAAGGACACCCTGACCACCGGCTGTGGTCTGGGGCCCCGGGCGGTGGCCGCTGATGGACAGACCAGGACGGAAGGCATGGGGGTGACAACAGGGACTCTGGGGCCCATGGGAGCCGTGACTGAGAGGCCCCGGGTGAGGCCAGCAGTCCCCAGGGAGGTAGCATGGACCCCTGGCCGAGGGCCACATGGAGGCCGAGGGCCACATGGAGGCCGAGGGCCGGAGCTGCCAGCAATGCCTGTTTGCTTCACTGTCCACCGTCAGTGTCCGAGCACAGGGCAGCCCCGGTGCAGGGCCGGCAGGGCAGGGAGGACGGCGCTGCAGCGCCCTGGCCGCAGCCACCCGGGGCTGTCCTCCCTGCTGTGCCCACGGACACAGAGCCCGTGCCCGGTCGGTCCTCCGCTGAGTGGTCCTAGCCGCTTCTTTCTCCTCATCTACGCCGGCCTCTGCAGCTTTGGCGACAGGTGGACGGAGCCACCAAGGCCGAGTCCGGGGAGGCGAGCGTGGACCTCCAGGCCACGGCTTCCCATCGAGTATGTGGGCCGGGACGTGGCCTCCCGCCTCGGGGGGGCTGGCCGGGAGCACTGGCCCCGGGCATGGCTGTGGCCTCTGAAAGGGGTCTTGCCCTGTCCCACAGAGCCCCCCTTCTCCCCATGGGAGAACTGCTGCCCCCAAGGGCTGTGTGCAGCGTGCAGGGTGGGGGGCCGGCGCAGGCCCCGGGGGAGGGACTCCTGGCCCTTGGGCTCCATGGGAGCCCCGAGGGCAACGGCCCCTCCCCAGCGTTCAGACAGGGCAGACAGGACGGTCAGCAGCCGAATCCTCTTAGAGGTGGGGGAGGGGAGTTCTTTCTTTTCCTTTAAACTTGACCCCAATGGGGGCCGGCGCTGTGGCTTAGTGGGTAAAGCTGCCACCTGCACTGCCGGCATCCCAGCTGGGTGCAAGTTCGAGTCCCGGCTGCTCCACTTCCAATCCAGCTCTGCTGTGGCCTGGGAGAGCAGTGGGAGATGGCCCAAGTCCTTGAGCCCCTGCACCCACGTGGGAGACCCGGAAGAAACTCCCGGCTCCTGGCTTTAGATCGGCGCAGCTCCGGCCATTGCAGCCATTTGGGGAGTGAGCCAGTGGATGGACGACCTCCCCCCCTCCCCGTGACTCAAGTAAATAAATCAATCTTTAAAATACATTGATCCCAATTTTCAGAGCAGCTGCAGAAGACCCCACCCCAGCCCGAGTTTGTCTCCCACAACAGGGGCACTGTCCACCCGCATGGGCACCGCACAGCTGTCCATCAGGGCCCCTGCACCAGACCCTCCAGGCTCCGGGCCCCAGCAGCGCCCCTCGGCGGAGAGATCCGGCCGGGCTCACGGCGCCCCCTCCTCCCTGACAGCCCGGAAGCTTCCTGGCCGTCTCCCTGCCGCCTCTGCCGGCTCCGGGCCAGGTCCGCGGGGGGCCGTCCATGCCGGGGTCAGACTGGCACGGGCAGACGCAGAGGCCAAGCCTCCCTGTGTGCTGCTCCGGCCCGGCCTAGGAGGGTGGTGCCCGCCCCTCTCCCGTGGGCTCACTCGGCCCCGCGTGCAGAGAACCCAGGTGGGGGCACCACAAGGGTACGGAAGGCGTCCTGCCCTGAGCCCTGGGCTCTGCACCCCTGCCTTGGCCCTAGCCTCACGCTGACCCTTCCCAGGTCACAGCCTCACCCCTGCCCTGCACAGACCCTGTCCCAGGTCACAGCCTCATTCCTGCACAGACCCCGTCTCAGGTCACAGCCTCACCCCAGCCCTGCACTGACCCCATCCCAGGTCACAGCCTCACCCCTGCACTGACCCCACCCCAGGTCACAGCCTCACCCCTGCATTGACCCCATCCCAGGTCACGGCCTCACCCCTGCACTGACCCCGTCTCAGGTCACAGCCTCACCCAAGCCCTGCACTGACCCCATTCCAGGTCACAGCCTCACCCCTGCACAGACCCAGTTCCAGGTCATAGCCTCACCCCCCAGCCCTGCACTGGTCTTGTCCCAGGTCATGGCCTCACCCCAGCTCTGCACAGACCCTGTCCCAGGTCACAGCCTCACCCCTGCACTGACCCCACCCCAGGTCACAGCCTCACCCCTGCACTGACCCCATCCTAGGTCACAGCCTCACCCCTGCACAGACCCCATCCCAGGTCACAGCCTCACCCCAGCCCTGCACTGACCTTGTCCCAGGTCATGGCCTCACCCCTGCACTGACCCCATCCTAGGTCACAGCCTCACCCCTGCACAGACCCTGTCCCAGGTCACAGCCTCACCCCAGCCCTGCACTGACCCGTCCTGCACGGGGCCCAGGCCCAGTCTCAGCAGGATCTCGGTCCCTATCTGGGGGCTCCCTTTGGATTCACTGCACAAATGTCCCTGTGACCACGCGGCCGCTCTCACCCACTCAGCCGTGCGGCCCCAGGAGCCCCCTGGCTCCCGTCACCCTCCGCCTTGGTCTGGAAGGTCGCCTTGGGCGGACTCCTCGTGATGTCCTCAGCACGGGGTGGGGGGGGGGCGGCCGCACAGCCAGGGCGGGGCGCTGGGGGGAGGGCCCCGGCCGTCACCAGCACCTGCCTTGTGGCTCTGGGCGCAGCGTGCGGGGCCGGGCAGACGCCCCGCTGCCAGCGCGGAGAGGGCTGTGTGGGCGTCCGTCACACAGGCTCAGAGACTAAGTATAGAGCTTGTGAATGCAGTCAGCACTCTGCTGCTGAGACGTGCGCTGTGACGTGACCAGAGCGGCCGGCGAGGGTCCAGGCCTGGGGACGGCCTCCCCCAGGAGCAAGGCTGAGCAGGGACACCGCCTCGGGCGGGGGACGCACTCCCTCTGTGTGTCTCGTCCCTGCACCGCCGGCCGATCCGCAGCGAGGGGCCCGGGTCCTGCTGGGCCAGCAGGCCGAGGCCTCACCCCGTGCCCCTGCAGCTCCCCCCGGGAGGCCCCAGAGGCCTGGACCGAGGCAGGGTCCACTCTCGCCACACCTGGGCCACTGCGTCCGTCTCTCTCTCTCTCTTTAGGATTTTTTTTCTTTTTCTTGAAAGGCAGAGTTACTGAGAGAGAGAGAGAGAGAGAGAGAGAGAGAGAGAAAGAGATCTTCCATCCACTGCGTCACTCCCCAAATGGCCACAACGGCCAGGGCTGGGCCCGGCCGAAGCCAGGAGCCCTGAACTCCATCCGGGTCTCCCACGTGGGTGCAGGGGCCCAGGCACTTTCTCCCGCTGCCTTCCCAGGTGCATCAGCAGGGAGCTGGACGGGAAGTGGGGCAGCCGGGGTGGGGGGCTGGCGGCAGCGCAGGCCACGCCCCACGTCCCTGGCCAGGTTTCCATGGAGCCCCCTCGCTGGGCTGTCTCCCCAGGTGGACGGTGTTCTCACGCAGAAATCCAAGAATTGCCCTCCGAGGCTTCCTGAACCTGCCCTCGAACCTAGGTGGGGGCAGGGCGGGGGTGGGGATGCAGCCCGGCCCCTCCCACAGTCCCCGCTGGGCGTGGCCAACTGGGCGTCCACTCCGCGGGAGGCACAGGCCCCACCACGCCCTGCACAGGAGGCTCCTGGCCTGACCTGGGCGTCCCCTGCCCCATGCTCCTGGCCTCCCAGCCCCCCCAGCTCAGTGTCACTGAGGGGACGGGGAGACCCCGGCTGTCGGTCCTGGCCAGCGCCCGTGAGGGCCCCAAACCCACGTGTGCCTGAGGCTGCCGGGGGGACCCTGGCCACCGACCCTCCGCCACTGGCGGTGGCAGGGACCAGACCGGAAGGCGCCGGTTCCCAAGAACCTGAAGCCAGCGGACCAGCTCCCCAGCCCCAGCACCCCGCTTCTGAGTCGCTCCAGAATATTCCGCAGCAGATGTCCCCTGCCTGGCCTTGGGGCGGAGGAGGCGGCTGGGGGCTGCGCTCCAGCACCCGTGGCCACAGCTCCCCGAACAAACAGGGCCAGCCAGGGACCCGGGTGTGGCCGCAGCGGGGACAGCAGGAGCCATCTCCAGGCTGACCACAGGCCTTGTCGCACCCAGGTCGCCCCTGGCTCACCGCAGACGGCACCGGAGCTGCCCGGTGTGACCTGCGCCCCGGCCGGAGCCACGCGTGGGCGGCGGACTTGCGAGTGAGAGACTGGGGCTGCCCGGCCTCCAGCCCCCGCCGGCCTGGCCCTGCACCGCGTCCCGGTCTGTGACTGCACTCACCGGGTGGCCCGTCCAGGGTGTCCTGCTGGCTGTGGAAAGCCCCCAAGTCTGGCGCTGGTTCCGGGTCTCCCTGGGCGGGGACAGCGTCACCTCCGGCGGCCTCTGCGGCGGCTCTGGGCCCCGGCCCCCGTGACTGGGAGCAGGTCAGAGGGTAGGAGATGCACTGGAAGCCCCTGGAAGCAAACAGTGGGCTGGGGCTGGAGGGGCCGAGGTGGTCCTGGCCCGGCTTGGGACCCGGGGCGCCACGGTCAGCACTCGGCCACTCCTGCTGCGACAGAAGGGGCACCCAGATGTCCCTGCGGCTACAACAGTGTCACTCCGTGCTGTGCTGGCCAGGAGCACTGGCCCCCGAGTCCGCCCCAAATCTGCGGCCGTGGGCTCGGGGCTCCCCACGGCCGGGCCTGCGTCGCTTCGCAGCCCTGACCATGGCGGTGGAGGTGCTGCTGACCGCTGACCGCCTCGCGCCTCACCCTGCCTGGGGGCCTGCTGTGCTGGGCCCCCTGGCCGGAGCGCCCGAGGACCGTAGCTGGGCTCTGGGGGTTCCGGCCAGGGTTTGGGGGACACAGGGCTCCTCCTGGGGACTTGGCAGAGCCCGGAACCGAGAGGGGAGGGGCGTTCCCAGGGAAGCCGCTCAGCCTGACCAGGACCGTGCCCGGGGCCTTTGGGAGAGAAACAGGAAACTGGGCAATGCAGCCTCCATGAGCCCAGCACCCGGTGCCCGCGCGGCTCCCCTGGCGGGCGGTGGGGTGGGGCGGGGCGGGGCGGAGTGGACACGAGGGCCACGGCGGGGCAGGCCCAGGAGGAGCCCCTGCAGGTCCAGGACAGGCCGCTCAGCCTCTGCCCATGGCGAGAGTGACCGCGACCTGGGAGAAGCTGGGGCTTGGACACAGCGCACGCCGGGTTCCGGAGCTGAGGCAGTCCCTCGGGGACACCTGGGCAGGAGGGGATGGTGGGCTGCGCGCCGGCCCTGCCCCGTCCCTGTGGGCGGCACGGCCGTGGACCCCTTGGAGGAAGGTGTCTGGCCCACGTCTCGTCCCCCGCCCTGGTCCGGGGTCGCCGGCACTCACAGCGGGGTCTGCATGGGCGTCTCCGGGTGGCGTTCGCTGTCCACTTTGAAGAAGCTGACCTCGGAGAAGGCTGGGAGCTGCACGTACCTCACACCGGCCGACACGCTCAGGAGCCGTCCACTCTCGCCTCGGGGAGGGAAGAGGAGCGGGCGTCAGGCCCGAGGCCGCGGGCAGGGGTCCCACCAGGGCAGCAGCTCTGGGCGGAGGGCAGGGCGTCTTCTGCACTGGGCGTGACCCCGTGACCCCTCCTAACCAGGGGTGCAGAGACCCCGGCTGGGGCCCCTCGGCTCCCTGCCGAGCCCTGCAGAGGCCCCTGCACCCCCACCCGACACCTCTGCCCCCCACAGCTCAGTCCTGGATCCCGGGCCTCCGACTGTGGGTCGCGCTCTCCTGCCGGACAGTCCCCGGGTCTCCCGTGCTGCTGGTCGTCTTGGGCCCTGGGGACCCGCAGGCTGCAGGCAGGGCCCCCGAGTCACCGCGCCCAGCAGAGGCCCCAACAGACAGGAGTGCTGGGCAGCAGGTGGGGCGTGGTGTGGGCACGGCGGGGCAGGCAGGACGCAGCAGGGGGGCGACTCGGCCCCCCCAGGACCGGGCTTCTGGACTCGCAAGGGACTGTGTGGGCCGAGGACATTCGGACGGAGGCCCCGTGTGGCTCCCACGTGAGGGTCCCTGGAGAGGTCACCTGAAGCCCGGGGCTTCCTCCTGACGCCCCCCAGGGAGCACCGGGCTCCACGCCTGCAGCAGACAGGGCTCCAGGGCCTGTTGGCATGGACTCCGGGGGGCCAGAGGGTGGCGGAGGCCGAGAGGGAGCCGAGGCTGGGAGGAGGGGCTCTGAGCCGGGACAGAAAGGGGCCACGCTCGGGCTGTAGGAGGCAGCGTGGGGCCCACGTGGTGCAGCCGGGGAAGCCGCCATTGCAGCGCCAGCCTCGGATACAGGAGCGCTGGTCAAGTCCTGGCTGCTCCACGTCCATCCGGCCCCCTGCTCACGGCCTGGGGAAGCAGGGGACGATGGCCCAGGTGCTTGGGGCCCTGCACCCACATCGAAGACCCAGATAAAGCTCCTGGCTCCCGGCTTCACACCGGCCCAGCCCTGGCCGTTGCGGCCACCTGGGGAGTGAGCCAGCAGATGGAAGACCTCCCTTTCTCTCTCTCTCTGCTTCTGTCTCTCTCTCTCCCTCTCTGTTGTTCTCCCTTTCAAATAAACAAATAAATAAAAATCTTAAAAACCAACAATGTGGCTCGTTGAGTTCTGAATCTGTTCAAGACACGGTGACTGGGCTGAGGCGCCCCCCTGGCGAGACAACGCACAGGCGGACAAGACGGAGAGACGGCGGCGGTGTCAGGTCACGGACGCCAGGCTCCTGAGACCGCGCGGACTCTGCAGCTGGCCTGCGGGGCGAGGTGCACAGTGTGACGGACGGAGGTGGAGCCCCGAACCCCCACGAGAGAAAGCGCTGTGGCTGGCGGTGCGGGGGGACCAGGCATGGGCTGGGAGTGTGGAGGGACCAGGCATGGGCTGGGGGTACGGGGGGGACTGGGCACAGGCTGGGGGTGTGGGGGGACTGGGCACGGGCTGGGGGCGTGGGGGGACCAGGCATGGGCGGGGGTGTGGGGGGAACTGGACGCAGGCTGGGGGTTGTGGGGGTACTGGGCATTGGGCTGGGGTGCTGTGGGGGGACTGGACAAGGGCTGGGAGTGTGGGGGCACTGGGCACAGGCTGGGGTACAGGGGAGACTGGGCACGGGCTGGGGTGTAGGGGGGGGACTGGGCACGGGCTGGGGCTAGGGGAGGGCCTGGGCACGGCTGGGGGTAAGCGTGGGGGACGTGTGGGCACGGGCTGGGGGTGGGGGCACTGGCACGGGCGGGGGGGTACAGGGGGGACTTGGGCACGGGGCTGGGGTTGGGAGGCACGGGCACGGGCCTGAGGGTAACATGGGGAGCTGGGCACGGGCTGGGGTGGGGGGTACCTGGGGCACGGGCTGTTGGTGTGGGGCCTGGGCACATGGCTGGGTACAGGGAGACTGGGCACGGTCTGT